GGGGGCCAGGTATACCCTTGAAAGCCAGGATGAGTCAGAGTGATCGGTCATGGATGGAAAAGACAATAAAGGGACTCGAAAAGCTTTTCAAGGAATAGACACATTATAACATATGTATATATAGATATATATATCGTCATAGAGAACTGCCTAGTGAACCGTAGGCAGAGAGGGAGAAAGAGGACAACAAACGACGACCGTGACACTGTTTCGTTGGAGTTTCACCGACTACGTATATATACATATATATAGCCATATTCATTCATATGGGTTCGCCAAGTGTCATTGCGGGAATGGCCGACGAACAAGAAAGAAAACATCAACCAAAAAAAAACTTACAAAGTGCGTGTCGCTGGACCAGCCATTATTTGCAAGCTGCACGAAGATTCACCGCCGGCGACGATGGGCGTGCCAAGTGTCATGGCGGGAATGGCCGACGAGTCCAAAGCCACCGCTCCCGACGGTTGCTCCCTTCCGCGCTGCCCTGACAAAGAAGTGGACATCATCTCTTCGGCTTGCTGGTTCACAGAATGATTGGTTGATTGATTGATTGATTGACAGATTGATCGATCGACTGATTGATTAATGGATCGATTGCTTCATAGAATTGATTGGTTGGTTGTGGAGTGAGGCACTAACGGACGAGTCCAGTCCGTTAACGAGATCACTAATGGGCGACCAAAATGAAAGTCCTCTCCGTTGCAAGTCCCGCCCCGCTGCCCTCGGCAATACCCTGCAACTACCACCAACGCAACCTGATGTCTCCCTATATACCCGCAAAGACGAACTAATGCCAAACCGATACCCCGAACTAAAGCCGAACCGATACCCTCACCGGTACCGGACGGACCATCCCTTCACCCCAAGGTTCCTCTTAGGCCCAGCGTCGAGCTCTCCAGGCGTTCAGAACGAAGATAGCCAGCTCTTGGGATGGAATGATACCCTCATGGGCCTCATCTGCCAGTCGATGGAATGGTACCCTCATTATGAGTTCGAGGACCCCCGCAGATTACAATGGACGCAAAGGGTCGGGCTCTTCAGGGCTTCAGAAGGAAGCTCATGGGCGGAATTGATCGTGAGTTCCAGTCCGTCCACAGATTAGGATGGACACAAAAAATGTGAAGGGATAAACCCCTTGGGAAAATAAAGAGAACCAACCTTGGGGTAAGGTCCTACTTTCCTGGCAAAAAGACACTGAGGAACCCTTGGGCAAGGGCCCAAGGGTTAGACCATGCTAAGCCTGGTGGCACAGCCAGGCGGAGGGGCTTTTGTCATTTCCCCCTGGCTGTCGGCATGAGGGGCTCAAATGTTGCAGCTGTTTTTCGGAAGTTATTGCAGTGCGGCAGCCCCAACGTTGGCCTGGTTTCATGTACCATAGGGCAAGGCCCCTCCCCCCATGTATACATCGGTTTGTACGGTATGCACGGAGGGGGGGAAGCGGGCGCGGTTTTGGGTTTGGGTAAAAAACTTGTTTTGTCTGCAGTCATGTTTAAACCACCAGTACTTGGCCCAGCTATCGATGCTGACCTGGAGAAGGTTTGTGCTCCGTTTCGCGCCGGCCCCTGGGCCTTCGGAAAGTTGGTATTGTTGAAAAGTCTCAGACCTTTCATATGGGAGTAACGGATCATGTACAAAAGGACTTTTTGTTAAAGGACGTAGAGTAAGGGAGGCAAAGACACCCTTGTTCCAAGGATTTGGACAAGGTAGAGAGCTCATATTTCTTCCAGTTCACTACTACTGAGGCCACTAACCCTTCATAGAGTTTGTGAACCCAATTACGATATACAGGCACAAAACCTTTCCTTTCTAGCATTTGAAGGCAAAATCCTAATTAACTCTATCATATGCCTTCTAAAAGTCGATCAATGGAATAGCTTCAAAATATTTTTTACCATCTATAACCTCCAGGGCTTGAATTAGTGTCATAATATTATCAAGGACAAAGCGACTTGTTCTAAAACCGGATTGGTCCGGGTGTACCAGATTCGATAAACGATCTGCAATTCTTTTAGAGAGCGTCTTGGCTAGTATCTTCCCTAAAGTATTCAACATTCTAATCGGGAGATAATTTTGGATATCATTTTTATCATTATTCTTATAAATAGACTTGATAGCGCCTTCCATTATTCCTCTACCAAAATTATGGTTGTCCGTGATATTGTTGAATAAGTATAGCAAGATAGAACAAAAAAAACTTCATTGGTAGACCATCGAGTCTCGGAAACTTACCATTTGTCATGCTATTCTTAACCGTTGTTAGTTCCTATAATATTATCTTATCCTCCAGGTTTTTTCTTTCACCCACTGAGATTTGTCTTATATCTAAACCTCATAATGCCTCCCTGTTCACTTTCGAACACTATCGGTTCACCCGGTGTCTTCTCTATGGAGAAAAATGTTTTGTAGAAGGATTCTACATATGTACACATCATATCAATATCTTTGACTGTTGTGAGATTAAAGTTAAAGGATGTGAAATCGCAGTGATTGTTGATTGACATTTTTTAATATTCGTTTTTAGGAAGAATTATTATTTCATACGATCATTGGTAAGAATCCAATTGACTACTCAGTACCTGTGTCATTCTTCCTCTCGTTTGATTTGAAAGTCTTCCCATCTACTGAGTCATATGTCATGCATTTTCGCCCAATAGTCTTAAGCAAAGGGGTCATGTTGTCGAGCGCATTGGTTCTGCACCGCGCAAGGGCAGGACACTCCCCGCCGTGTCACGCAGGAGTTGGTCTGATCCTCGTCGCGAATACACATAGAGCTTCCACAAGCCGCTCTGGTTGAGTGCGCCAATCATACCTCTCGCAAACCCCTACGACAGGATATGGCCAACACGAGGTACAACTTATTTCCACCTTGCAGGAGTTGTCACCTCCCTTCGGTAGGTGTATCCCCGCCGAGCTACAAGTCCACAATACGAAAGTTAATCAGCTGTAATCGCAGAGGTGGACCAGCCGAGGGCGTTTCTCGTTCGATGTAACATAGGGGGTACGCGCGGTCTCACGCCTCCATCGAACCCACACGCGAACCGACGCACTGGGGGGGGTTGAAGTCCCAAGCGCGACTCGTCGTCGGTCGACTAGGACGCATCCCACTTACCACTCGGTACACCACTTCACTCACACCTACAAAACGACACTAAATAAACAACACAGCTACACTCCTAGTCCCTTTTGTAGTCCTCTCATAACCTTCAGACGTAGAAATCGGATAGGCGACGCGCGCGAGACTTAGTATAAAACCACGCAGACACAAAACCTTCTCATATCGACTAGCAATGCATGAATACGCAAGCAGTCGCAATGGTGGCGTACTATGTAGTGCCCATAATCAAGCGGTCTCTCGTGGATCCGAGTACCGCTTATGATAGTCAAGTGTCAAACTCGAAGTATCGTGAAGGCCAAGCCCTTCACGATATTGCACGGCTGAAGGAACAATCGTTCGGCCCCCGGGGCACCTTCGGTCCTTAGGCCGAGTGTCCTGGTGGGCAGGGCGAATAGGCTCTGCGTAGGGGGGTGATCCCTTTCATGCGGAGTCTAGGACCTGGGATGTCCTGGACAAGGACCTCGAATCCAAGCCCAGGGCCAACGTCCGACTAAGAAATTTACAAAAAGCAAACAACAGTAAAGGAAGGGAGTTTCAATTTTGACCCCAATTAAACCCCTAAGTGTGGGCTCCTTAGGCCACGCGAACACCCAAACTTAGGTATACATATATGTGTGACGATCACTTCTCACAATCACTGTAGGACTCCTCTCAGCCATATATATGTATGTGATCGCAGAAGTCAAATTCAAAATCCGCACCACAAAACATATTTGCAAACACATCAAAGAGTCAACAAAAGTTCATGCATTACACGGGGGCAACTTCAACCACTCTCTATACTTATACCCCTTGCTTTAGTCATGCAAACCCCAACCTTTGTCCAACCTTCCATAAATAAATACTCAGCACCTTCGTTAAATGATCATTCGATAACAGTTCAGGTGAAAATTTTAGCAAAACAATAAAAACCACCAGGGCTAAAGCCTTTTAGGTTGAGTATTGAGAATGGATTGGTGTTGAGTCGTAGATCGACGAATCGACAACCGACCTGTTAGCAGTGATAACAAATGATGATCCTTGTAAGATCAAGTTGAATCTAACCTTAATCCTAAATCAAACGATCAAGAGGACATGTAGCACAAGACAGACCAATCCTCAAGCTAAACCTATAAGTCAATGGAGAATAACCTCCATATCACGATCTCACTCAAACATTATTTTTAATTAACTAAGTCTAAATCTATCCCTAAACAAATACCTAAACAAAAGGTGCATCCTGACTGAATCTCTTCTATATAGAGTGGATCTCCAAAATCGTCACCTGTCAAAATATAACCTATCTCCTTTAAACTAGGAAAATTTCGTCAGCACTTTCCCTAGGAAAAATACCTTTTCAAAATTATACTAGCTCGAATATAAAGATTCAAATATTCTCTAACTCTTGGAATGTCAAATTTCGTCCAACTCCCTGAATTAGTAAAAATTTAGGCAACACTTCCTTTAGAAACGGAGACTTCCGCAGATTTATACTAAGTCAGATGCGAACTCAAAATAAAACTCGAGTTTAATTTTTATTTAACTAACTCCTTAGATCTGTAAACATTTAGGCAACACTCCTTTAGGAAAAGGAGACTTCCCAGATTTATACAAAGCTAAGTTTATAACCTTAAATAACTTTGACTTCTCAAGGTCCAACTTTGTCTAGTTCAATTTAAAACAATATTTAACTGACTCCTTGAATCTGTTAAAATTTAGGCAACACTGCTTTAAAAAAATGAGACTTCCCAAATTTATATAAAGCTAAATTTAAAACCTTAAATCACTTTGACTTTTCAAGGTCCAACTTTGTCTAACTCCTTGAATAAGTAAAAATTTTGGCAACACTCCCTCTCAGAAAAGAAGACTTTCCAGATTTTTACTAAGCCATATATAAAAGTTAGACAAACTGAACTTTGAAAATACAAGATATAACTAACTTTTTGGTTTTGTAAAAATTTCGGGAGGGAATTGACACTAACTCTTATAGATCTATCACATGGCGAGCATCTAAAGTAACTACCTGTCAACTGAAACTTAGACTAAGTAATAATCTTACTTAGCCACATGGAAGAATAAACCACAAAGGTAAGTATTGTCATCAGCCCAAAGTGAATCTTATCGAACAATTGTTCATAGTCTTTCAATAATTTATCCCTTTATACCTAGTTTACATGAGGCATAAAGCTAGCTCACCTAAACTTATGGAACATGTGTAGTTCAGTCATTGAATATACAAAAACACAAGGCACTAAAACTTTCTCTTCCTTGGGCATGTGACTAGGCCACCCTAGTCGCCCTAAACTGTTTAAGTATCCAAGTTTTATATAATTATCTGCACTTAGTCTTTTAAGGTAGCATATGACTGAACCGATCATCTTTAGCTCAAGGCTAAACCTGCTCATTCTTACCATAAGTTTATTCTTAGTTAATACCCTCTTCAGTTTGTGATAGGTTATAGTCAGACCACAAAAACTTATGGAACAATGTCTGACTAGCATGTTCATAGGTAAGGTAATAGTAACATATAATCAAGTTATAACCTTTTGGTTCCAGCATGTGCGTGGCATTGGACCAAGACCACAAAAACTTATGGAACATGTCTGGTCTTCTGCCTGGATTATTTCCTTAATGGTAAAGCAGGAAGAGGTTGAGTCACGCAAACTTATGGAACATGCTGAGACCTCCTCGTTCAAACCAAAATAA